CTGCAATTTGTTCTTCCTGAACAGTCAGCTTTCCATTAAGGGCTCTGAAGCAAAGATTAAAACAAATCAGTCAAGTAAGAGGCAATTTCAAGATTATCTATAGGTTTTTACACTATATTTTCAGTAATTAAAAAAAAAAAAGTATTGCTTACTTCCAAATGAAAAGTAGCTAATTTTCACTTAATGTAGAAAAGATTTAAAACAATTTTCCATTGTAAACTTTCTGTGTAAACTAGGGATTATAAAAGTGAAGTTAACTATATTGAGTTTGCTTTCATGTATGAACTTCCACTGAAAGACTGCATGGTGTAAATCTGCATCCTGCTATGCATATGGTAATTATTCCACATGTAAATAAATTCCTCAGTGCAAGCCTATTATCTGTGTAATAATTAAACTTCCAAAGAAGAAGTTGACCAGTCAACTTTTTTCCTTCAATTTTCTGGTGTGAAAATAGATCTGAAAGTATTTCTGTACCAGCATCTGAGATCTGTTGTTAGCCATTTTATAGAAATTTTGAAGACATACTCATAATTTTCAAGAGAAATATAGACTCCACTTTTCTCTCGTGCAGCAACAAGGTCTCGCTTCAGACGCTCAATCTCTTCAGTGTATTCCTGCATAAAAAAAACAATCCCATGTAAACCTGAAAGTGTCTGTTTTGGTTTTGATATTTAACTTAACAGATACTTCACAGAGGTAGTGCTCTACAGCAGTTTTGCATAAGCATGGAAGCAAAGCACTTCATTCTAAGTCCAGTACAGTACCATTTAAAATCATACTATTGGATATATGTAAAGCATTGGAACCTTCCATTTGAATCATACTTGGTTGCATCTCACAGCCTACAACTGGAATCACAACTTCCTTTGTAGCAGAGACCTACTTTACACTGGCTCTTTACTCAAACTTACTGACAACTTCACTTTAATTAAAGGACTTTTTAGGGATTGACCCTGCTAATACAACTCCAGAAAGAAAAACAGTGTCATTTAGTGGCTCTCCAATAACTTGTAAACATGTAATCCACACACAGAGCCACAGGCAGAAAGCAACAACCCTCTCTTTTCAACTTCAGTCTTAGTGACAGTTTCAGTATCTGCAAAGTGACTAATCCTGTACAAGTAGAGCAGCTCTAGTTTAAAAGCACCAGTTCAGTGATTCAAATCACTTCAGAAAAGCACTGCTACTGGTTACAGCTTCTCCACACCCTCATTAATTCCTGCACAGCAAAGACTACATTAACAAAATCAAACATAACCCATAACTTCATTTGCTAAGCTGTATGTCTAGTACCTTAATAAGAGCTTTCCTTGTTAGCTTCTGATTGACTTCAGGCTTGTTCATTATGTTCTTTGCTCTATGGGCATATTCCAGCGTACTCAATGTTTCCTGTGAAAAGTAGTTGTAAGACTAGGTCAAGTTGAAGAATGTAACTCATTTTTTATCATTAGCAAAATGTGTTATTTATTTTAGGAATAGATTTTCAGACTTAAAATTTACCTCAAGATTTACAGATGCAGGAGAAACCGTGGCAATTATTGATGTTTTTGTCCGTCCTCCGAGAGAGTCTTGAAGGATTCTTGTGAGTTTAGATTCCCTGTATGGAATATGTGGGGCTCTTTCTACCAGAGCAGTAATAACTCTTCCTAGTGTCAGCAGAGACTGGTTGATATTCCCAGCTTCACGAGCTCGTTTGTCAACTGCCCCAGATCGACCGATGTTTTCACTTCCTGCGAGATCAACCTGAAAATAAGGTTATGCTTCTATCTCAAACCACCCTGAAGAATGCCTGCCCCAAGGTATTGCAGAACACCTAAAATAGCAGGAGAGTTGTTCAAGAGACACAAGGACGACAAATGGGACTGACATTCTTCAGAGTGATAAATGTAGCTCACATCACATTATGAAAACAATCATTTTTCCCCTTATCAGAAAAAACCTCCAACTCTAGTTCATGACTTTCAGCATGCTATCAACACCACTTAGTTCAAATACTTACCAAGTTTAGCTTTCCAATTTTAACAAGTTCTTCTCCATCTATTGTTGTTTCTTTCATATGGATGGTTATTGAAAACACTGAGTGGGAGCGGCTGCAAGAGAAACCAGTTTCAGACATTCCATTAAAGCCAAATTATCTACCTGCTACATGACACTGCTGCAAGTTATGTATCTGTGCTCTTTTTAGGGAATACATTTTTAGCCCATCAATTTCAAATTACACATTTTCAATACACAGTTATTTTACCAAGTATATTTTTGTGTATATACATAAGAACATGGTATTTAAAACCAGTGATGAAGCAAGTGGATAACACTTGACTCATTCAATCTTGATACATTTTATCTTATTTCAAGCAAAACCAAGAGAAATGTTTTGGTTTTGTTTACATTTGTGTGTTCTCATGCATCTCACAGAAAAACAAAAATCTGCAAGTCAGTTTAGACAATATGTATGCTATGAACAATTTCATAGGATGTGATCTTCAGGAACAGTTTTCTTTATTCAGCCTACAAAAATAATCAAGTAGCTGAACCCAATATTAAAAATTTAGAATTTAAATTCACTTTTCATTCAAAGCAGTAATACAGTAACATCAGTTTAGGATCACAGAATCACTGAATGGTTTCATCCAGCTCCAACACTCCTATCATGGGCAAGGACACCTTGCACTAGAGCAGGTTGCTCAAAGCCTCATCTACTGTAGCCTTGAACACTTCTGGGGATGGGGCATCTACAATTTCTCTAGGCAACATGTTCCAGCATTTCACCACCCTCACAGTAAAGATGATTTTAGGTTGAGTTTATTCCTTTAATAAGTTGTTACAATAGGAAGCTGACATACATAGAAAGCCACAGGTGGCTTACATCAGTTAGACTATACATAAAACAACATTTGAGGCAGAATGAATTGTCTAAATTGCCTGTAATTTCGGACAAAATTATTTTTGTGTTCTAATCTATGTTAGCAAATACTTTTTCCCTTCCACCAGTAGACAGATATGCTCAATAAACCTTTAATTTAAAATACAAAACAGGCAGGGTGTATTGCTTACTTTTGCAATATGGGATCATTACAGTGATATACATATCCTATCTGCAGTTCAAGAATGCAAAAGCAGTAATAAAAAATGCTATTTCGGACCCAGATGTCTCTACTAGATACTGACTATGACCTGCAATCCTACGAAATAGCCTCTATTACTGTACAAAACCCTCTTCTCAACTTTATCCCCAACTTCCACAATCTAGTTTTTCAAGTTTTCAGAAGCCAGGATTTGAAGTGAGGGTCTTGTGTTAGTTATCCTGGAAAAAGCAGATCTTAGTTTTTTGGAAACTTCAACTTCTGTAACAAATCCTAATGTACCATTTTCTACTGCTGATGAGGAAAGGAAAGGGTATTTGAGACGCTTATACCAAGCTTTTATTTAGTAAATGGGATTGGTCAAAGCACCAAACCATCTATAAGAGCTAGAATAAAGGTAGTCCACCTCTCCAATACAGGTATATCAGCTAAACATCTTCCAAACATGAAAGGACTATAGCCTTATTGAAAAAGTACAGTATATACTGCAAAGAATATTTATCTCACCCTAGTACATGCAATGTACTTCAGTGATTGATCGGTCAGATTTATGTCTTCTGTTTTTATAGACACAGAAGGTTTTGAAAAAGTTAACTTTGCAACTTTGAGAAATAACTAGAAGTCCAGTTAAGAATGTTGTGATACTTTTATCAGAGCTAGAATTAGGTGGAATAGCAGGACTACTGTATGAAATAGCCACGGTGTATTTACAAGGGATAAATTAATAACAAAGCATGCAAACTCTAAACAAGAGGGGGAGCTTATGTTAAAAATCATGCAGGGAGAAATATCTTGCCTGTTTTTAAGATGAGAAGTATTCAGATTTTATAGTGCTCTTTGTACTGGTTTTGGCTGGGGAATTTTCTTCACAGTGGTTGGTATGGGGCTGTGTTTTGGATTTGTGTGGAACATACAGGGGGTTTGTTATCGCTGAGCAGGGCCTTGCACAGAGCCAAGACCTTTTCCTGCTGCCACACTGGTGAGGAGGCTGGGACTGCACGGGAGGTTGAGAGGAGGCACAGCCAGGACAGCTAACCCCAGCTGACCAAAGGGATATTCCAGACCATACGGCATCATGCTCAGTGTATAAAGCGGGGGTAAGAAGGAGAAAGGGGGGGTGGAGGTCTGGAGTGGTGGCGTTTGTGTTCCCAAGTAACCATCACACGTGACAGGGCCTTGCTCTCCTGGAGATGGCTGAACACCTGCCTGCCCATGGGAAGCACTGAATTAATTCCTTGCTTTGCTTGTGTGGGCAGCTTTTGCCTTCCCTATTAAACTGGTTTTATCTCAACTCGTGAGTTTTCCAA